CAAGACCCGGATGTTTTGCATACCTTAAAATTAATCAGAACCGCTTCCTTCGGCTGCTATTCTAAATCATCATTCATACATTATCATTGTTTCGTGCCACACCACTCCAACCCACATGGACCTATGGAATTCAGCTAAGGGGGACAGCCTCCAATTCCAACATCGAAATTCTCCATCACTTTCAATGCAAGACTCTCCGATCCATTCTGAACGCACTTGGTACATAAACTACCACAGGTTCCCTGGAGATCCACAAATGAACAGAGTCATTCATCGGTAATCTGTCAGACGATAGGTCCACAGTCTCTTCCAAAACAGTTCCTCCACTTAATGGAAAGAGACTATCCAGGAAAAGTGATAATGTGGTAGTTTTTCCATTTGCTTTCCACATCGCAGTACAACAGCCGTTCAAACCACTCTGGTCATGCCTGTTGCTAAACGAACTTGAACCATCTCGAGCATCATTTGCTCTGTGCTTCAAGTCGCTGCTGATGACGCTGCCTCCGGCATCAGTTTTTGGTTTTTGGTGTCTCTCTTCGTCTGATGCCTACCCTTTGACCTGTCCAGCAAGGGAGGCCCTTCCAGTAGCTACTCTACCGCTGGTATAGCTCTCAGGGTCCTTGGCATACTCAGACCCCCTCACCACGATAAGATGGAGACATCAAATGAACAGAGTGCTCAGTGAAATAAGTAAGTGGAATACCAAGTACTTAAAAAACTGAACCAGTTATTCTACCGCGAGCTTCGATCAATAACTGTGTTTTTTTTTCTTTATCATTTATTAGCAATCTGAATTTGCATTCTATGAGCTAATTTGCTGTCATGTACAATAATTATTCTATTGTACTAAGTTGGCTTGAAGAGCTGTAATCCATCGATTACGCTTCAGTTTTCCTGGAGATCGTTTGGCCAAGTTCGTCTTAAGTCTTCTGTATTGTGTAGGTTGAAGGAGAGCTTCTATTGCGTTGTTGGGGTGAGATTCCAGTTTCTGATAATGTTTTTGGATTCTGTCTGTGATTACGGTTCTTACATATGGGATCTTGAGGTCGGCAATGACTGTGTCCGTATAATTTTATCTTCAGCATTCGGGCCCATCGGTACACTAACGGACATGAATTAGAACATTTGGCGAGGGACAAAGTTCAGAAACTCTGTAATCCCGAAACTCTTCGCAGTTTATATTAGTTTTTAGATCAGTTCCCATACACCAGTCGTGCTCTCAGATAATACGTAAAGGTCAAAAAGACTGCTAGTTGTGTCCCACGTCACAAGTTCGTTGTGTCTAACCGTAATCGATGTTCTGGCTTCGTATGATAATTATTCTTTTAGTTTTACTGCCAGAATCAGTTTGTTTGTCACGGATTTTCCGGAAGCCTTCTGACTGAATGGCAGTCATGCTGATCCTATCTTGGAGCTGTATCAGTTCCTAATAAAATGGTTCCTACTCATGACATGCAGCAGTCATTGTTAGACGTAACCGGGTCTTGTGGTTATGAATCTGCTCCTCGCAGCTGCGGCTTTACTTTAGAGGATAGTAATTTTATTTCTGAAATGCATTGTCCTGCAGCATCTGTTTGAGACGTCGTTTTAATTACATGTTCCATACAAACTGGTATTGGAGCCTGTCCAGACCGTCCTCAAGACATCCTTACACGTGGCTTACCTCTTAATGAAGAAACACAATATTGATGTTAGGGGAAAAAAAGGAACGAAGCTAGAAATTGGTCGAAATGAAAGTCAGTTACATAATTTTCCTTATTAAAGAATCAGACACAAGCCAGGCTGTCTCCGAGCTCAGTATTTTACGAAGGTAAGTAAATAAGTAAGTTACAAATGGATATAGAACTTAAACAAATAAGAGTACTGATTTGAAAAAAGCTTTTATTTCTCAACATAATCTCCCTGTACATTGAGGCACTTGTCACATCGTCAGAGAGGAGGCCCCGTTTCGAAACACTTATATCTCAAGAAGAGAATACAAATCTTGGTCATAGATCTGGAGGAGAATGAAGCCAGGAATGACAGTGCCGGCGAAGACCAGCAGAAATTTAACTGGCCGACCGAGAGCCAGCTCTAGCTGGTCAGTTTGGCCATGAGGAGAGTTGCGAGACCGTCGCCAACCGATAAGGACATGAGTACGGAAGCTGATGAATCTATGTACATTCATGGGAGCCGTAAGCTAGCAACGCCTGGTGAAGACATAGAACACTCTACGTGTGCTGCAGTACTGTGATTTGTAGAGCGTTTAGATCCATGAAACTTTAGTTGCGAATTATGAGTGTTCAGTAAATCCAGTTAACAATCCAATCCCCATGTCTAGTCATGAATCACGTGACAGTATTTATAACAGATCAGTTAAGATGTGCTCACAGCGAACAAGAAGTTGTTAATAGCCTTACCTAGCCTGGGGCCAATTCTTCGATATTAGAACCCGAAAGTTCGGTACATCTTCCACAGAAAACATCGCCTTGAGCCAGCCAGGCCACCACACTATGATATGTCCGCCATATCCGTTTTAGTAACGTTATCAACCTTAGTAAAAGCATTAGATAATTTTACTCTTGTATTTTGGCGCAATATCAAGAAGGCTTACCGAAGACGTGGAGATAACGCTCCATTCATTCAAGATATCTGCTCTAGATGAAAGCGAATGGCGAATTTTATTCATGGTGTGGTTCGAAATCCGAGTTTGATAGTGACGTTTTGTGTTCGTGTAGAAATATTATAACACGTATTTTTCTTGACAAATCGTGTCTGCTTAACAGATTTGTATGCTTGTTAACGTGACGAAGAAATAATTCGTTACGAACTGTTAATGGACTAGCAGCAGAATGCTTAATCCAATTTGCTTATTCCTATGAAAATTTCCGCTAGAAACTTGTATGGGTTCCTTGTTTCCGTTGGTCAATCTACATATTCTTAACAGCCCCTTATTGTGTGTTCACTTTATATTACGAGTATCGAATAAAAGCGATTTTATTTCCATATTGGTTTTTCGCTTCCTGTGGGAGTTTGCCAACTAACTGACAGTTTGAGTAATTTCCATTTTCTCTCCTTGCGTTTCGTTTAGAATGCACGATTATCGATTGGATATCATGAATTTCAATTTGAGGCTACTTGTTCCTTGTGTACTGTTCTTTTTATCATGCTGTTTCCATAGGAACGGATGTTCGCGGGGAGATGTATACACTGGATGTAGAATAATGACGCAGGAAATCACATTCTGATTTCGATATTAGACGATACGACCTCTCGACAAACATTCGTAACTATTGTGGCACGCACTGATTTCGATATTAGACGATACGACCTCTTGACAAACATTCGTAACTTTTGTGGCACACACAGATTTCGATATTAGACGACACGACTTCTCGACAAAGATTCGTAACTCTTGTTATAGGTTGGAACATTAAGTTGGATCGGTAACATGAGAAAGAAGAATGAATGCTGTACATTAGAATAACGAATTCTGGTTTAAAGGTAAAATGAACGCCTCTCGTGGAGAGAACGGAGAAATGCCAACTTTCAAGCCATGTCTCCGAACTTCGCTTAGAGTCCCTTAGTTTTCTCTGTGTCTGTCTACACTCTTGGAACTTACAAAACTGGAAACAAACAAAAATTATGGATTGCATCCCGATGTGTACTCAGTAGATGCGTGAATTGCACCTTCGGCGCGACACAAAGAAGGGTCTCTTCATTACACGAGCAACATTACACCAACGTGGGGGTAACCTTCACATAAAAATATTAAACATCCAATTCTCTACACTTTAATCCGAGTCATCCCAGTGCGCATGCGGGAAAATACGAGTATGCCATTCACTGGATAATTAGGAAAACCTACCAGACTGAAGTTAGTAAGACCCCCACGCAGCTCATGGCACACGAGCCTATAACATCCTCGGCCCCTAGACAACACCAATAAACTGCGTTAGATGAAGCTGTGTTTTCTGTAGACACGACTGGCGCGCCAGTAGACTTGCTGGGTAGCGATCACGTGATATGTGTTTGCTGTAGGTCCATGTCCATTCCGCGGCTATATAAGCAAGAGTGACAGAATTCGTTGAGGGCAGTTACGAGTGAGTAGTAGTGGCAGAAGCAGGCAAACAAGAGGATAGCAGTAAGATAGTACAGCGGTTACTAGTTGCGAGCAGCAGTCGCGATAGGAGTACGCGAACAAGCAAGCAAGTTCTCAGTAGGAGATTGCCACGGGAAGTTCGCAGTTGAAAAAGAATTAGAAGACGGCCTGTGAAGGATTAACGTGTGAAGAGAAGAATTTATGTATAATATTTGGAGTGTGTAATTCAGTGAGAGTGTTATAGTTCCTATGCTATAAATCTATGAGGACTAGTGCAGATAGACTGAAAAGATTAATGTGGAGTGAGTGTACATTGTGTAAATCAGCATTAGTGTTATAATCATTTGTAGTCAGAACCTGTATGTTGTTAATAAATCCAATTACCAATCCGAACACCGCCTTTAATCACCCATACACGTGACAGTGATGATTTATTATGAATGACTTAAAATAAACGTTCAACACGACGAGATGTAACCTGCATTTTAACTTTGTACCAGTTTTAAGACGTATTACATTAAAACGGAGAATTTAATAACATTTACTGATCCATAATATATCAATTTTGACGTTTAACAGTAAGCTTTTTTCGTTTTAACTCGCTTATATATTGTTTATATACTCAAAGGGGTATTCGCTAAGAATCACAACTACAAAAATTGATCATATTGATCAATATTGTGACAATTCAATTCAAATAACCTACTTTATGTTTTATGTAATTCTCCCGATGACAACCTAAGTAAAGTTCGAAACATGTAGCATACGCCTGCTTACAGTAAACGAATAAGACATGTATTTTGTTTCCCCCTTGCAGACAGTCCGTTATGTTGTGTTGACGGTCCAATGCACGTAACTAACGTAACTTTGGAAACAAACGAGTCTGTTCCTCAAGCAGATACGTGTTGTGTGGTTGCAGAACCCCGGAGCAATGTCCCAGCGTGGTTTCACTCCTCGCAGAGTCCTACAATCCTCATGTGAGGTACGGGGCTGCCATGGCCCTCGGCATCGCCTGTGCTGGCACCGGTCTTAAGGTGAGTAACTTACATTGCTGTATTTTTTAGTTTCTTGGGGGTTGGGCTGAGACCGATGAGTCCACTGCAACTTCGGGCACTAACTGGCCAATTGTTCCAAGCGCGTATGATAAATGATGAGTGTGGAGCAGTCGGTGGAATGAGAATTGGCAGGGGAAACCGAAGTACTCGGAGAAAACCTGCCCCAGTGCCACTTTGCCCACCACATATCCCACCTGATCTGGGCTCAAGCACGGAAGCCGGCGACTAACCGCCTGAGCTATGGCACGGCCTTGCTCTATTTATATCACTAACCTCTGTGTTAACACGAATGTTCAAACTATGGCGGGACATATTTCTTTTGTCCGCTCAAGGTCTTTCTGTCACCTCTTACCACTGATCTGTAAGGATACCCCGCGCTACCTGTTCAGCTTGCTTACATCACTTCATATTTAGTTGAAGGAAACCGATCCCCTAAGCAGACAAGTTTATAGTAGAAACATTTTTGTTTGCGGTAATAAACGAAACCGTGGTGACCTTGAACAGCCAAAAGAAATATTCTTCGATTCTGTACCATTGATTTTTCCAACAGAATGTCTTCAATTTTTTTCCCCCACAGAAAACACGTGTAAAAATTGATGGATCTGTACGTGACATGACATATATTGCGTACCTGTGGGTCCTATTCACGCGTTAATATGAACCGAGCTTAGAAATCGTATATCACGAGTTTTTCATTCATTCATCCATCAATGGCTCTACGGCCCTTTGTTTGGCCCTGGCCTCTTCTTCAATTTCAGAATCTTTTTTACACAGACGGTAGCACTCCTTGGACGGGGGATCAGCAGGCCGTAACACGGCCGCTACCTACCCACAGGACAACACAAACACTGAATGCACACACAGATATCCATGCCTTGAGTGGGATTCGAACCCACCATCCCAGTGTTCGAGCGGGCGAGGACAGTTCATGTCTTAGACCGCGCGGCCACCTTGAGCTGCCCCACGAGTATTTACTGTCAAATTTAATGAAAGTTGAATAATTATTTATAAAGAAAGTAGAAATTGTACACGTATTAAGAATTTTTAAGCGCCATCTATAATTTTCAACACATAAGTAGCTATATAACTATTGAATACTGACGCCCAGCCCCGACCACTCCATTTGTGGTTATAAATGAAGCAGTTTGTTTGTTATTAACTAATGATAATTTAATTGTCGAGGAATGCGGTTGGGAACTGGGTGCTCCAAAAAGCGGAACACTTTTTCCATTCGTATTGTGCTTTCAGGAAACAAGGATTTTAATTCTGATGGTGTATGTACCTGTAATGAATTGTATTTCTGAATCACATCCAGTCAGCTGGAAAGGTCGAAGTCTTATCTGGTGAGAACTTCCTCACAAAATTGAATACTTGGCCCAGCAACTGAACTCGATATGGCCACTCGACCATTGTACTGCCACCAGATGTTGAACCAAGTCTAAGTAAGGAACTAATTACCTCTTAATGTTATCTGTGAGATTCAGAAACTTGTGTAGATAGCGCAGTCGGTACAGCGACGGGCTACACGCTGGACTGCCGGGGTTCGACTCCCGTCAAGGTCAAGAGGTCTCTCTACACCTCAGCGTCCAGACCGGCTCTGGTGTCCACCCAGCCTCCTATCCAATGGGTACCGGGGACCCTTTCTCCTAAGGTAAAGCGGCCGGGGCGTGAAGCTGACCACTAACCTCTACCTAGTGCCGATGTCAACAGTGATGGAGCTATACCTCCATACCCCCTTATGTCTTCATGGCTTGGTGCTTAATTAATTAAGCACAGGGACAACTTTACATTTTTTATGATTATAGTAATTAATGTAGCTGGAAGTTGAACTCAGCAGAATGATGGTATTCACTGTATGGAATTATCGATTTCTTTCTTGTATCGATTAGAAAACCAGTCCGACCCAAATCCCTAGTCTAGACTTCAAATATGATAGGAGCGTTCGGTACTGTTGGATCCTAGCCATTGCTTCTGTGTTTGGTCTTTCTGCCATGATTAAAGATGGCCGAAGCTGAGCCTGAGTTGAACTGTGCCTACGTGCCCTCCATACAATTTGATAGCTTGGTACTGTGCATATTGGAAGTCTGGATTCTGGTACTAAGAGCAGCTGTACTGAAGAGCAAGAAGGACTCAGCTGTCAGCTGTGAATCCTGGTGTCTTGATCCTCCCGCTTCCAGTTTCTATTGACTGCAGCGGCGCCTTTGATCATTCTCCTTGGTGAACAGACGTCAGTTTTTATTCTGCCGGGTTCTCTTATCGTCAGATATGTGTAGGCGAGCGAAGCGGAAGGAACACAGTGCTACAGATGCTGAATAGGTAAAAAAAAGGGTAAAAACTATCCCTGTAACAGCCCATGAAGCCCCATGAGGTTATGAGACGTCGAGACTCCTACATTTTCAAGACAGTCGGCTCACAGAATGCGGTGAGATTGTCAGCCTTGAGCGCCGGCCGCCATTTACCCTCAAAGAAGATTCCTGGTACTCATTTCTGTTAGAGGCTGAGTCGACCCTAAGGTCATAGTGCGGCTGGAAGGATTAGGTCAATTGAAAAATCCAATGACCTCATCGGGAAACGAACCCGTGATCTTCCGGATTGTAATGCTGAATAGGCATATAAATATTTCTTATCTGCGTTTGGCTCGAAGCTGCAATCCGCATGTTAAAAGTTTAAAGTTTTATTTGTACCCTGTTTCTTTAATAAAATTATTGTAATTTGATTTGCTTCGTGTATAATTTTCCCGATGAGTTATTTTTAATGGGTTTTATATGATTTCATATTTTCAAATGTCACTGACTTTTGTTTACAGTTTGCTTCACCTGTTGTAGGCCTGTCACAAACTTACGATACAGACGTGGGTCGGATGGAACCGATGTTAAACTACGGGTTTTCCGCGCGGCATATTTTTTATATTTAATCTATTTTAAAATGGGATTGACAACTTTTTCCCCGTGAGCCGCATGAGGTTAGCGGTCCACATCTTGGCTGTGCATGATGTAAAAGTAAATAGTTTGTAGTAGCGACAGCATGTTAAATATTGAGGTGGGCAGGGCATGTGGCACGAATAGGGAGAAGACGAATACACAGAAGATATTGGTGGGAAAGCCAGAAGGAAAGACACCACTAGGATGACCAGGACATAGTTTGGAGGATAATATTAAAATGAATCTTACGGATATAGAATGGTGTGGTATGGACTGAATTGATCTGGTTCAGGATAGGGACAGGTGGGGGGGGGGGTCTTATGAACACGTTGATGAACCTTCGTGTTCCATAAAATGTTGGGAAGTTCTTGAGTAGCTGCATAACTGGCGGCTTCTCAAGAAGGGCTCAGCTCCATGCAGTTAGGTTAAGTATCTTCTAACCTGAATGAGTATCAAGGAACTTCCACATTACTCGTGCTCGTAAATCTTCGTCCACACTACTTCAGTTGCTCGCCAGGCTTCGGCGCGTGAGGATCCGTATATTTACTCGTAGTGTGTATAGGCTGTAGTCGAATTTTAATTTTTTGGCTATAGTTTTCAAATTAAAAATTTTAAATTTGTTTTTCTCGTGACTTGTCATATCGTCCACATTACTCGCGAGCATAGCGAGTCACACGAGCACGAGTAATGTGGACGCGTCTTCAGAGAGACATCAACGTGCACGAGTATCTACCCCACACTGACGGAGTGAGCGTAAGAAAGAAAATGTGTGGAGAATGGACCAAAACTGAACAGACAGGACCCAAAACTGACTTAGTATGGCAACGGTTAAAGAAAGCAACTGAAAACTTTCGTAAAAGCTTATCATTGCGAATTACTTTGCAGAGAATTCTGAGGGAATTTAGAATATTCCTCGTACATGCGTGTAAAGCCCGTTCGCTCTCTTGGAACGGAATTAACAACAAAAAGATGGTGTTTTGCATAGCAATGCTCTGCTGTCTGTATCAGACACAAAAGGAACGTCCTGTGTTTGAAGCTTCGTTGTTACGCAACAGGAAATGGTTTGTTGACGGAGCGCTTTGAGTCAGTCCGGCGCGATAAACCTGAACAAATCGTTATAAACACTCCAGAGAATTGGTGCGTGAATGTTGTGATTTGTATGCGGGGTCCATGCCCCTATATACAAAACCCTCTCCGGCGTATTTTTAAAAGTTTGTCCCATAGATGTATGACTGGCTGCTTGTACGTATATATTTCATCGTGGTGTCTTTTTTTTTTTTTTGTTTAGTTTCGTGAGGTGGGGTGATACTTGAGTTCACTTGGCACTGCGGGCACTGTTTGGCCTATTGTAGCAGATCCAGATGATAGATGATGATTGTGGAGCAGTCGGTAGAATGGTTATTGGCAAATGAAACCGAAGCACTGGACGACAACCTATTCCAGTCACGCTTTGTTCACCACAATTCCCACATGACCTGGGCTCCAACCCGTGCCGCCGCTTTGGGATGCCGGCGGCTAATTGCCTGAGCTGTGTCACGGCCAATGGCGTGTTTGTCGTATTATATTTTGAATTTGTTTTGGAGTGAAATGTCTCATTCAACAGAGATGTACAAAATATTGTACTGAAGTATGTTGTAGTTTCAGCTGAACCTCTCACTGATGTCATAAGCTATGTTTGGATTGTATAAAATAAGCTAGAATATTGTAACAGTTTTGTTGTACTTAGTTTTAGGCCGGTCTGGATGTTATGCTAGAAATTAGGTAAGACAGATATAAACTTTCACTCTAAATTGGTCACACTACCATATGGTTTTCTTGGAATTTTGTGGTCCATGTCTTTTTTTAAAGGGTATATTAAAAGCGGACGATGAAGTTGAAATATATGATTTTTCATACGGTAAGTTATTATGAAGCTGACACATGTGACTTACCGCTGAGGCGAGTGGAAGTCTGCCCTTGGTAAACAGAAAAATCGGCCCAAAAACATTATACATTGTTTCTCCTATCCTTTGGGTTCCGGGGTCTCTTTCGCTAGGGGTAAAGTGACCGGGGCGTGAA